TGCGCAAACGTGCGCACTCAAGTATATTTGTTTTGAGGGGGAGGGACAGTGCCTGGGGAGAATTGAACAATATTATTATTATTGTCTTGATGGATGGCCCCTTAATTTAGATACCGCCGACTTGACTTGACACTTGACTGACTCACGACTGCCATCCAGAGCAAACGAGTCCATCAAATCGTTTTACGGGCAGTGAGTACTTCTATTCCACCAAAGGCCAGAAACTTCCAACACTGATGGATGTATTTGTTCTTCATGAGAGACAGTGTGTTCCCCGTCTGGGTGACTGAGTAGTTTATGTGTGGGTGCATGTGTGTGTTTATATATGTGTATGTGCGTGTGTGCGTGTGTGTGTGCGCGTATGCGTTTGTGCATGGGTACATGCACATGTGTCTGGGTGTTCAGCAAGGCAACTGAATACCTGTCAGTGATTGATGAAGTGTCACCACCATTCTGCTGTCCGGGCAGTAAGACCACTGTGCAGACACTGACACGTTTCTCATCAATGTCATACCAAGGTGGCCGTGATAAGCAAGGTGAGAGACAACTACTCATGTTAGCAAGAGTACATAACCCCCAGAGTGTGCAACTCCCACATACCCTGCTGTCCCGACAGAATTTCAAGTTGACATCATTATTTAGGACGCAATGCTCCTTGCACCAGTGATTTGCAACATGTGTACGGGTGTCAACGCATCACACGTTTTTCTTTGCAATAATTTGTACAGGATCGATCGGCTTCGGTCAACCACAGGTTCCGGATTCGTTTGATAATACGTGTACAGTGCGCATTGCATCATCAAAATGACGTCAACTTGAAATTCTGTCGGGACAGCACCCATAGTGGAGTTGCACACTCTGGGGGGTTATGTACTCTTGATGTTAGGCGTAATGCCACTCAGATTGGCTAGGGTGCATAAGTTCAGACAAACGCTGTAATGGAGATTTCTGTTGACTCTGGTTTAGTTATTCACTTTGTACATGTTGCATAACGGTCATGTGATTACAGTACTGCCGGGTGCCGAAGAACGGAGAGGCTGGCTAGGATTTCACCAAGCACAGCATACCAATGTACACACGGTGACTCAACTGTGCATAGACTGTAGTACATGTACATGAAAATAAGAACGGCCTAGGCTAGGAGGCTGCCCCCCCCAGTTCTTCGGCAGCTGACAGTACTATAATATCATCCCTGACATCAGTTTAGATGTGCTTTGTTTGGAGAGGCAATGCCATGGCACAGCGATGCGCTAGCTGAAACGAATACTGCGACTCGCGCTGTACACTTAGCTCCCATAAGCGAATACGCTGACTCACCACGACAGTGGCGTAGGGAGGTGGGGGGGGGGGGGGGGCACGGGCCAGCCCCCCCCCCCCCCCCCCCCCCCTAAAACCCTTTTGACGGATGTAGGGCCGAAACTCGATCGATGTTACATGTTTGCACGCGCAAGTGAGAAGCATGCAAATCAACCCGCAGTCATGCACTCAGATCGATCGTTGTCAGAGCTGGCCCTGCATATGCAGCGGGTTATCGTACTTGACAGGCCCAGGAACAGGCAGGACGTCTTGACAGATGCCTGTGTGACCAGGCCATGCGCGTGCCACCGGCATGAAGCACGGTGCGCCGTCACAGATCAAACCTTGGGCATTTTTGCATCATAGCTGCTGATGAAGCGTTGTTTTTCGTGGGCAGTTTCCTTCGAAATCAGAAAGGCAGGAGTACTTTGCTTTAGTAGTAGCGGCTCTTCTTATTGCTATACATGTACCGCAGTGTTCTGGAGAAAACCACTTTCCAGAAGAAAAATTTCCTGACTTACTGTTAGTACAGTAGTTCTCGGAGAGCAAAAATTGCAAGGTACGACCGCCAACCTGTTTGGCGGTGGTCATAAATTTCGCCATTTTTATGGAGAAACTGAGCACCCGGCTTGCAGCTATCATTCAATGACCTCCAAAAGATTTCACAAGGGTCAAATTAGTCATCAACGCCATCGTGGAAAATCCGTTATCAGCGGAACATACTACTACTACATTGTAGTCGCAGAGTTTTATCACTGACAGGAGATAAGTCCGACCTTCTTGTTTGTAATGGCTGAAATCGGGGAGTTCTTGAACATAACTCATTTTAAAAGTTATCGCTCTCTGCCTTTGCCAGTAAGGTTTGCTGTATGATCGATTCTCTTTTACCATTGCGGATGAATTTCGCTTTCAAGTACATTCCCCTGTGGACTTTGGCCGGGCTATCAGTCAGAGCTACATGACTTGTCCGGTGGTTGCTACGGCCAATCTCAATCTCTCCTGTTCAACGTACATTGTAGATGCACAGCACTTCCTCTTGTCCAGATTTGAGTACTGAATGTACTCGGTGTTCTCGATTGCTCCATACATGTCCAGTGCACGTATTTTATGATGTAGAGTGAAATATTCCGAAAGAAGTGATAGCACCGGCGCAGAGTGAACTACTTCAACAAATACAACTCTCTGTAGAAGGATTACTGGTACA